ACCCTTCGGCGGGTGCTGTGTCGGAAATTAGTGCTCGCAAGAAATAAGCGAGCATCTTCACCCAAATGAAGTAACCGCTCACCGTTATCATTACGAGAGCCTACACCGTGTTGACCGCCCAGATGCAGTTCATCAGTGGACAACTTTCCAACTTGTGCGTTCATATCCCCCGCCAGCACAACAATGTCCGTGCTTCTTCTGTGGCGAAGGAGCTGGGTCAGTTGGCGGCAGAAGTCGTTCTTTACCGAATCATCGCTACAGTTTGTGGGCGCATAGGCAGCGATGATGAATAGACATCTATAAGTCCCGCGCGACTTCGAAGCTTTAAACGAGCCAGCCAAGCGGACCGCACACATCCGGCTACTGATTGGAATCCAATCAACCAGAGCAGCTTCAGCCCGGGGACTCAGGGCAATACCAACACCAGCTTGGCCGGTGCTCGAAGCTGCATCGTCACCGGATAGGCGCAAGGAGAAAATACTGCTTGCGTCCCCTGAAGGGGATCGCAGAGTGAGCACAGTGCTCGAGTCTTGCAGGCGAGTCTCTGATAAGCAGCAGATATCGATCGAGAGGGTCTCCAATGTTCGGGCAAGTGCTGCCTGTTGACCGGTTTGTAGCCGTGTGCGTACATTGAGGCATGCCAATCTGAAGGAGGATCGAGGGCTCCAAATGGAAGCCGATGAACTGGATTGGACCGCTTGGTTGGACATGGGCTTGTCGACAGGAGAGGAGTGACGCTCCGCGTTCACGTGTGAGTTGAAATTAGAAGGTAAATGCCTAGCAAAGCATGTTGGGAGAGGGCCAAGAATCGGGGGGTTGAAAACTGGGGGGGGATATAAGTGAAGTTGGAATGGGACGGTAAGAGTGAAAAAGCGTAAGAGGGGGAATAAAAAGACGGGAAGGCTTGAGCAGTAGCATCCAAACCCCTATCCACCCTGCTCGATGCAGCAGATAGGGCACCGTTTATTATCCTATGGGACGGCCAGAGCATCAAGAAATTGTTTGAAGGAAAATTCATAGTATTGCGTGGGCAGGATACTGTCAGGTTGCCCAGGCCTAGACAGGAGAACGATTAGGGTTCTCAACCAAAGCCTTTGGTTCAAAAACCTGACCGCAAGGCAGCGGGTTGCTCAAATGTACGGTGAAGGCTGTCCTGGAGGCGGCGCGAATGAGCCCCTTCAAGTAGGAGTGAACCACCAAGAAAAAAGCTTTGCTGTCCGGGTCAGACAATCTGGCCAACCGCTAAGAGGCAATGTGATGGCTTAAAGCGCCCTGGTCTGGAGCATTGGCGGATCTCCTGGAGTTTGAGCTTCACATCCTCGGCCAGTTGGTTTGTTGCGCTTTCTGGAGTGGACGAAGCGTCATAGCAACAGTTATTGGTAAAACAGTCCCTGGCAGGCCTCTCGCAGCCGATCGCGGAAAGTAACCGGGTTGTGAACGCCACGCTTGGAGTACCTTGCTAAGAGGACCAGTGAGCTGAGCGACGCGTCACTTGCAGCCTTGGAAAAGGAACACTGTAAAATCGGTGCAGCGTTTGGAAAATTGGAACAGATGATGGAATGGTACCCGCAAGAGATCACTGGACTTTTAATTCAGCGATCGGAAAACCATCAAGAGGATTTGCTTTCCTTACGGAAAATCGGGACGCAAGAAGCGACGATGCCAGAAGAGGGACAATGCAACCCTTGTACCACCTAAACGAGTACAATCTCGTTTTTATCTCGGATACAGGATTGTTTACAAGGAGCGCTGAATAGTTGGGTGATCGAGGCGATGGTGAAAGTAGATGGTACCATGGAAAGATGTATGATCGGTACCGGTGCCGCAGTGTCCTTGAACAGCCATCAGCGACGCGAAAACTTCAATTGTGCTCTTTACTCGTGATAACCGTTGGCGGTGACTCGGTATTCATTGGTGGCATGGCAGAATACCCCATGTGAATCGAAGGAAGTAAACAATGATAATCTTTGTCGTGTCACCAGATGCAGAACAGACGTTATTAGGAGCAGATTTCCTGAAGCCCAAAAAGACAATCGTCACTTAAAAATGAGGGAAGCTGTTGACTGAATGTGAGTCGTTACCATTTATTGGCAGTAGAGAAACTGCCCATTTTCCCTTGGTTGGTAACTCGTTACGTGTGGGCCCGGTTTTGCAATCACTCATCATTAAGTACCATCTTCTGTTTACGTATAGAGAAAGCCATTGTAGATTTTTTGACTGGATCAAGCACACCGTTGCCTAAAGTCTACGGACTTATAACCCAGAGGGGAATCGAAGCATACCAATACATATAAAGACTGACATGAAAAGACTGGTACAGGGGATGATGGATGCAGGTGTGACTGAAAAGGTGCACCCCCATACAGTTATCCAGTTGTTACGGGGAAGAAATCTAACGGGAAGTACCGTTTCTATGTGGGAATCTAAAAGCTGATTGAAAACTCTTTGTGTTGTGCCGTTCCAGTGCCATCAACATAAGTAGCGCGGACCGCTTTCGGGTATTCTAGAAGATGTGCAAACAAAGGAGGTGGAAATCCTCTTGTGGATTACAGGAGAAAGCAACACATTGGCACCCATGATCCGGACGAAACTATAGCAAAAACTGATGATTTCTTGTCACGAAATGGCAAACACAAGCTGCGGCAGAACCTGCTATTTGCTGAGACAGCGCGCGTGTTAGGCAGGCATGAAGAAACATGTGGAGACGTACGTGTTTTCGTGTAAGCAATGTCAGCTCATGGAAACTGTTAGTCGCGGAATCCAACGACCAGCGCTGTCTATTCCAGTAATTTGAATTGGTGAGCTACTGTCGATCGAGTTGAGGGGATCATTTTCTTTAACCAGGCAACGTAACCAATGCATACCGTTGATGACCGGGCAGTTCACGCATTTTATGGAAGCAAAAGAAATCCCAAACCAACGGGCGAGCAACACGACTTATGCTGATACGAAACATCCGATAGAGGATCTCAGAATCCCAAAGATCATATTAACATACTAGGACCTTTGCTTCGATAGCAAGAAATTCCAGACTTGTTTGGAGAAACTCGGTGTCCATAAGTTCAAACAACCCCCTACTATCTGCGGACAAAGCGCCTAATGGAGCAGCACACTAGAAGAATTAAAATGTGGCCAGTGGTAACGGAACAGAATAAACGAAAGAGTTACCACTGCTTTTACTGGACCATTGAGCATCCAAACAGGCCACCGAAAGAAATCGTCGTCGGTAGTGTTATAGCGGAGGTAAGAATACTCCACCACTGCCCGTGGTTTTGTGAGTTTTATTCCACTCACCCCTATTCACCCCGTCCTCTTTTACGGTTCCCCACATACGTTTCTATTACTTCACCTTTGTGACTAGCTTGGGTTGACACTGAATCTTATGCTCAATGGTTTTTCCCTTACTCTGTACATTTCGCTCGTTCGTGAGACATCGTATCGATCTTTCGCTCCGGGAATGACTAGCTTTGATTGATCGATTGTCAGCCTTTCTGCATAACCTGTGTATATGCCTTAATTTGAATCGTGTGATTGAGTTGCACACACAGACGTTTGGTGGCCGGTTTGGTGTGCGGCGTGAACATTATTTTCTACCTGGTCGTTGGTGTTCTCACTACGGTTAGTGGGTGTAAGCAGTCGTGGGGCTCCGACACAACAGGTAGAACGCCTCAACTATCCTTGGATCTAACAGTTAGAATGTGGTCGACCTTGCGATTGCTTTCATATGAAGTGCAGGACACCAGAAAGGCAGTTAACCGTAAACTGAAATTAATTCAGGCGCGGAGGACGGAGAAGTCCCAAAGCAACAACGGGAAGTCGTGTTGTGGGTTTCCCATCGGTTTGAGAGTAAAATACAGGGATCATCAGCTGGCTCCCAATTATGGTCCAGGGGAAAGAAAGATCCTACTGTAGTGCAAGGAGTCGTACGAGGTTTTCAACGGACAAGGCTTGGTGTATACAATCGCTCGGAAGGGAGCTTCACGGGGGGTACACTCTAGTGAACTGAGGAAGTGGAACGAATCGGAAGATGAAACCTCTTCGTATAGTGAGCTACTCTGAAGTAAGAAAAGAATTCAGGAAAAGGCAGCGAAGGCGAACACTTCTGAGGGAGATGACTGTAGTTGTGCAACCGATGTCAGTAGTTTACAATTACCAAGAAAGCCCTACGCTTAGAGGCCAACTGCAACATTATGCGCAGAAGAAAGCTCGGGAGCCGCAAATGTATGTGCACTAACAATGGGTACAGAAGCTGCGTGTGCCCGTAGCCTACAGGATGGATTCGACGTAATTTTTGTAGTTTTGGTCGTTGAAATTAGTCTATATGGTAGCTGATATTTTCCGTACTAAAGGACTGTGTTTGCCGCTTGGATTCTTACATGTTGCTATGAGCAATTTCAAGGTGTAACGCGTGTGATTTTTCTGCGAAATATGGTCAATTCTTTTACTGTGACCGTAATATTGCCCCCTATAAGGCATGATGGTTTTAAAGGGAATCCGGAAAGTTGACCATGATTTAATGCCATTGTGAATCTTCTGTAAGATTATTATTGGCTGTATAGCTCATCCTGTTGTTGCACCTTGCTGCTAGTGGTTTGCTTTGAACAGATGAACGCATTAGCTGTTTCGGTTGACATGAAAATATAATTGTCAAGTGCAGTGTTTGGATCGTTAAAACCCGCCAGTTGTTTGCTTTGGATACGGACGTGATTATCGAACTTATCCATATTGCCTCAAGATAAATTTTACTGCAGACAGAAAGTACTTGCCACAATCTCCGCACCAAACGGGAGTTTCGAACTAACTAAACTAATCGACATGTTATTCCTGTCAATGTGATATGGACCACTATTTCTGTTTAATTGAGGCATCTCTCACAGGATTCAAGCTCCGCCTCCAAAGTATAAACGTAAAATTGATTGACTGAATAGTTGCTCACGAGCACCGCACAGGGTTTGTGCTGTGTAAACAGGTAACCATCTATAGCTATACATTTTACCTACCTCTTATCCACGCTGAAATATGAGGATTGAGGAAGGGCGTTAGTTTCATTATCCGTAGGAGGTGACCGACTGTCACCTGACCGGCATCGAAAGGTGAACACGTTCGCGGTGCCTCATGACAATCCGCATCTGAGAAGCGATCTTTCTCGCTATGTTGCAGGAATTCGGCCAGTCGACGTGGGTTCCTGTCACGCAGGGCAAGATTGCACATTTCAAGTGTGCTTATCACTCGGGGAGAATACATTTGAATTGGCCGTCTTGAATCGCCATCTCCATGTTCCGTTGCGATAACGGAAGCGGAGAGTGCTTTCTGTCTGGCCGCTTCTACTGCGAAAGCTAGTCTGAAAGGAGTGATACATTGTGAAGCATAGTTTCATGCGTGTGGCGCTTCCAACGTGAGTAAACATTTGTTTAAATCATATGAACTCATATTAGAGGAATGCAACATGTCCTTAAAGTGCAAGCGTAAATTCATGCAATAGTTCACTTCGTGTATGTAACACCGAATGCAGGATTGTTTCGGGGTCTTACATTTTATTCCGCGGTAATACTTTCAATTGCATGACCATAAGCACATTCGCACTACTGACAACAAGGTGCTAAAGGACTTGTCCACCTGGCGTTTGATCAAAAAAGCAACGAATATTCTATATCCCTTTTCTTTCATCCAAGAGATCTGATCAATGACAGCGAATACAATAATCCATGACTTTTAAAAATATATGAACCATAGCTTATATGATACCGGCTCTTCCTAGTGACTTAAACAGCATTAAGTCAAGGCTATCGCGCGTACCTTAAACCTGCAGCATTTAGCTCATGCATGTTGGATACACGTCTCGGTTTGGGGTCTCACGCCACAACGAAATTTCCCATGTCGCTGACTGCTTGAAGCGTCCTTGTTGGTCATCCATAGTTATTAGATGTATGTACACTTGGGTTAGTGTGGTGCAGCTTCCTTTCTTGGTTGTATACTACTACAGGTGCTTGTTACTTTATTTCTACTCATATGATTTAGCTTGAAATCATGGATAGTGCACTGAAAAACTCACCTTTTCAGCACACGAAGGTGAAGTTGGGACAAAGTGGTTTCCATACTTAGCGTTGCTGCTCGTGTACCGTGCAGGTTGCTAGTTGATAGACGAACATCTGGAAAACTTTGACTATCTTCAGGTAGATTACGAGATTTTTGGCTTCCGGTGCGATGCAGTTCAACTCTGCTGACATTCTCATCGGAACGAAGTTGTTCTTCAATAAAAATGGCAAGCCACGCTGCATGAAAAGGCCAGTGTTTCACCAGGCACAACCATGTAACCAGTGCATTCACGCACCAGTCCAGGTCTCCTAAGCTCAGGAAACAATGGGGTCGACCACAAAGTGAATTATTTTGCCAGGTCAATAATCGGTCGAGGATAATCATTCGACCTAAAAGCATAACGAAACAATTTACGGGTGCAAATATGAAAATAATGACTAACCGTAGAAAAAAAGATACCGTGAGCAACGCCTGGCTTAAAAATCGGGATAATAATCGCCTGCCGAGCGAGTACTGTAAGCGAAGGCAGTCAGACAGTCTCAGTCCCTTCTAGCCAGCCGAGCTGGACATAAAAGCTTTTACAAGGGAAAAACAACCACTAACAGTCCATGGAAATCAACAAAAGATTAAGCACCATGTGAAAAAGTTACGCTTTGTGCAGCTTGTTGGTTTTAAATGTGTTACCCGAATTTCTAGTGGAATAAAATGCATATGTGAAGACTAGAATCAAAACTCATGTAAGCTCTGGTACGCTAAAGGATATTTTAATTATAGATTTGCTTTATGTGGAAATCATTTGGATTTGCAAAGCGAAGAAGCGTAAGAAACTGTGTGGATTCACACGCAATGCAAGTTCATGGTAGAGTTTTGTCAACTATCTTTGTAGCCTCGTTCTGGTAATACTAGAAGACTAGTGACCACATGAGATGCCTAGATTACGAAGCCGCTTTTGTAACTGGAACTGGTGCTGCTTGAAGCCAATCATATTGTCCCTAATGAAACGGCAGTAAATTGGATGATGCAGAGGGTTAGTTGTGCTTGGCCAGCAGCATCCTTTCAAACTCTTGGAAGACATTGGGCCCAGTGCAGTAATACATATTATGCTATACTTCATCGACCATTACTGTCCCAAATACGCTGAACTCATGAATACTGGTAAAAGCTGCCTCCACTGCATACACCTGCAAATGACGGCCAGATGAAAACTGCTTATCAGCTGATGAAGCCTAAGTGAACATTTCTAAAATGGAAACGATCTGAGGGACTATTTAAACATCGATTCTGTAGCTGTATTTTGAGATATATGTAAAATTGTCATGACCTACAATCAGTTTGCACTGTTAAGATACTCAGAAGTTTGGTGTTACAGCCTGTTCCTTGTGTACATATGTCTGTGCGTGTTCATCCCGTCCTCCGTAGTTTGCGGACCGCAGCTGTTTCTGTGGCTACTTTGCTCACTAGTCAACGCTCCAACCTCCGAAGCTACGGAAAGTTTCTAAAGCTTTGTCCTGATGTCCTTCACCACACATGCATGTACACAGGTGTACATACCGTCCACCTGTTGTTTCGCAAAAACTAAACCTGCATTAAACCCAACCCATTTTATCTGTTCATTTAAGTTAATTCTCTACATTTCTCGACTTATTTTGCGCTTTTTGCTACCGCTTTGTTCCCGATTGGTTGTCATCTTCTGACTTGCACTTGTCTGAGATCACCTTTACACCAAATTAGACTTAGTGTACATTTTTGTATTCTCTCTGGTCTGTTGTATTGCTGCACACTTACTGCCCACTCTGTGTGTTTATCTCTTTTATACTAGGTATTGGCTGTTGATTAATATCCTCTGCTTGGCTGCGCTTGACGTAATTGTCGACGTGGTGGCTATCTGTCGAAAAACTGCTACCTCGATTTTACCGGCTCCAAGAGGCATTTGATCATTGCTTGGCCAGACTGAAAGCACGGTCCTCATGCCAGGGCTAGGCTCCAAGGGTGGTTCCATGCATCCAGTGTGAAGCGGGCTACGACCCAGCCACGAGCTAGTGTAGTCTGGTACGCATGGTTTCTCACGTAGATATATCTATCTACGGGCCGCCTCAGTTGATGAAAAATGACTGGAATCCTCATGCCTCCGGGTATTATTTTTTTGGATTTACACTGGATATGGGGTGTTTGGATGGAGCCGTAGGTAGTGCAGCGCAAGCCACGCATGGTGCCTTTTTAGGCGCAGGCGTCCTCGTTATGTCCTATGGGGGCCGCAGTGACAGGTGAATCAGGAATCGGATACCGCTAACCATCGCGACCACCCTTTAAAGAATGCGACTGGTTTATATGAAAAAAATGTGTTAGACTTCAAAATCGACAAAGAAAATAGTGCGCTATGAACTGTTCAATTTAAACTAGCAAGCATTTGCTGACAAATCAGATTAATTCGATCATAATGCTCACTAATAAAGAACAATGAACGTTGCACAGGCTAAGTGGCTTGAGTGGCCATCTTTTGAAAAAGAAATTGTTCAAATTTACAGGGAAAATGGCGATGATCTACTCGTTTTTAACTTTTGCTAGCACTGGACCAGATGGGATATGGAAATGCGAATGAAACCCTCGAGCGACTACCCCGAATGGAAGCAAGTCCCAAGGAGACCGTTCCACGGATGACCTTACTACTTTACTCCATATTTTCTACTGTGATGCAACTTTTGCATTGCATCTATTGTGACTGTTTTCTCTTGCGTTTTTGTACCTTCCTATTGTGCTGGCGATATCAAGCATTCTATACTGCCCAGAGTAGGATGCACGTGACGGCCCTTTAGAATTGGGGATAACACTTATTACTACCCTCTATCGCATTGTAAGTTTGTTGTACGGCCTACATCTACAGTCTATTTCGCATACTTCAAAGGTTAATGAATGCTGACGAAATCAATAGTCGCTGAGAGCCTGTTGATCATAACTGATATTTACTTTTTGGCGTTGCTGCTTGTCTACATTGTAAACCAATTAAAAATACTTAAGATCCTCTTTAACCATTAGACGGTGTTCGTGATTTGATATGGCGTGTCCTTATTTTCTCTTTGTGTGCAAAAGTATTTCGTTATCTACACATTGTCATAATCATCCTGTGTTCAGCCTATTGTACAAGACAGTAAATTGCCGATCATGGAGTGATCTAGCATTGCCAGAAATAAAAGCTCATATATTAATTTACGCATTGAGTAGGCCTGTTGTTTCCAAGCCCATAAGTAGTCCTATTATGCCCCGGTTATGCATAAATATGTCCGCTTTAAGTCGACTTGGTTCAATTCCTGTACTTGCATCTTGGGCAGCTTACTACCTTGAATGTTTCGTGTGCATTGGCTGTTTGAGTGCATCCGTAGCGCTGTCTATATTTTACCTAAGAAAACCAACTACTTAGCTTCGCTTTGTCTGTAATCAATGATTTGTCAGTATCACCGCAGATTTTTGATCTACCCCGGGGTTTGGATCTTTTTAATGAGTATTCCTACTCTTAGCTCAAAGATCGGGTTTCGGTGGCTACGGACATTAAGTGCATGATTTAGAGGCTATGATTTGTCTTATGGCTACATTGTGATTAGCAAACGCTTGGAAGGTGATCTGCTAGCAACGAATAATTCCCATACATGTATCTTGAAGTTCAACTTACCCACAAAGGCAGTCATGGTGAGCAAATGACGGAGATGTTTTCTGTTCAAAATCGCTAATTCATGGGTTTCTGCGTACAAATTCAACAGAGTACTATCCGGCGGTAACTTCTGCATTATGCAAAATAAGAATAAAAGTAAAGTATTTGAAAAGCACAACACGGGAGTGAGAGGAAATCGCAAGTACATCTCGTCTACTGCGGAGCAAATTTTTTTGATGACATGAAGTAAGTGAGCTTTGAGGACTAATTCCCCCGAAAATGGTTAAAGTTTTTGAGCTCTTGTTTTATTACTTTACCAAAACTGTGATCCTTGTGGTTGCTGCGACGTACTACTGGATGATCGAGTTGTATAGGACCACAAGGAATGGCAAGTGAAGGAACTGATTTTGTGCACTTATGTCCACGATTCATCAACTTTGCGGACAAACACGATGTTCTTTGCTCGGTGACTACGATGTATCGTGGAAGTATGTGCAAACACAACAAATAATCTAGTCTGAAAATCGAAGGTGGTTTTTCTCAACCTTATAATTTTGATTACTAAAGTATGAGGGTTGAGCTGTTTTTCTTTCAATTAAGCAACTATTTCTATTTTCAAATTGCCACCAAGGAAATGGTCCACCACTTGTAGGAAAATTAAAAAGAGACATTATGTTACCTAAACTGGTATAATTCATGCATGCACATATTCGCTCAGTAATATCAATTTAAACATTAGTCAGTAAAGAATATCGGCACCTTACGTGGTTTTCAGCAACATGATAACTGCTTCCTGTCTCAACTGACTGACTGGTGCACCATGACCCAGTCTGTAGTTACAGTGAAAAGAGGTTGCATTTTATTTGGATAGCAAATTTTTGTGTTAACATTTAGCCCTGGGATAATACCCAGGATTTTGAGAAGCACCCAAAGACAAAATGAGGAATGTCTCTGAAAATTGGGCTTGCTGGTAACGCCCCTTTTCGTCCATGACTTTGGCACCATTGCAACAGTTGACATATCATGATTATTGTAAGTGAGATACTTTTATAACTTGGATGATATAATATTGCCGTTAGACCCCTTTTAACAAACAGTGGTAAGCTGTTGGTTTCTATACATAAGTAAGGAAAGTGTTCAGTGCCTCATTTCTTCCGACCGCGCTAGTTGTAGGCTCATTTTGTTCACGCTCACTTAGGGCAGTGTTATTCAGCTTTTATATGTCAGTTATGAAACTGTTTCATAGTGTACCGCGTTTGAAAACTGGTACTTAGTAACAGCACTAATCATTGTGGTCCTGACTAGAGATTGGGTCAGTGAGACCATGACCTCAGATTACGCAACGTGCTCAGCATTGGTGGGAAGCTTGTTTGTTCCCAACGAAACAGCAGGTGTAAATTGAAGGCGGAATTCCGATAACTGAATGCTGACTTCAAAGACCAGTTGATTTTTAGGGCGGTACTGTAACCCTTTCCTGGGCATCACTTGTTACATCTGAAATGCTGCGTCAGAAATTTTCTCCTTCTCCGGTAGGTGTGCTAATATGCAGTACTAGTATTTAATAGCTAAACATGCATCATCTTAACACGCTACGAAGTTTTCACTAGAAATGCATGTTAGCACTGTGAAAGCAAGGAGCTCCCTACTTAAGTTAAGGTGAAACCAGAAATGAGTATGGAACAAACGGATGCCACTGCTACTAATCCATCCGTTATTTCTGTACAAACGTGACGCTCAAGCAAAGTCGGTTACTGATTAGCCAACTAAGAGTATAAAAGCAACTGACCCCAAAGTACAACCAGGTTGGCATGCCTGATCATGTTCTCAGCGCTACTAGAAATTTGCAAGCCAGTGGTGACAAACTGGATGATCTATAATCCAAACTGTCAACCCCTGATGATCCACGCCTGGTCCTTAATAAAACTGAGCATTCAGTTAATCTGCTACAAATACTAATCAGTCGGGTGGTAGATCACCTAATTCCTGTGGGGTATCCGTTGATACGGTAGCTACAAAAGTATTCAACAGGGTGCGGTGCTCAAAAAACGCGGTACTGTTTAATATCCCTAAGGAAATTGCCATTACATCCATACAGAATATTTTGTTTATAGCCAGCGAAATGGTTAATGTACCGTGCGTTTTCACGAAGTTATGAAAGAAAATCCAACGCCGTTCTTGCTCCATATAATTTCAATTTGAAATGCTCTGATTGCCACTGAGTGTTTAGAAAATGCGACCAAAATTCATGACAAAACCACGTTTATGTCCCTGGAAATTGCTACAGCTAAAGCGCCTTTGTAAAGAAAACTGGCAAGGACAGCTAACTTCTCAATTATATCTAGAGACACCAGTCAACAGCAGTCTTGTCTGCGCTTCAGATAATGCTACCACACCGTAGGAAAACAAATAATTGGCTAGGGAACAAATTTAAACATGACAGTGCCATTTACATGTACCTACTGTCTAAACCACCTACCCACCTTCATCTAACATAGTAAGTATTCCTGAGGACGCACCGAGAGTGGCGGCTGAGGCCGATGAATAAACGTTTGCGGTTGAATGGCGAAACACATCCGCCAGCCGAAATCTACGGCAGTTGATAGAGATAACAAAGCAAACTAGAAGCAAAAGTAGAGTCCAGCACGTTAAACCAAAAATCCGTGGCGTCCGTGGTTACAGCCAGCGATTGGCACAACGCGTGTGCTTTAAAGTAGTGGTGCCGGCTGAGCTGAAGGAGACCCTTGTGCTACCAATGTACAAGGACAAAGGGATCAAGCAATGATGCACGAGTTATCGTGGCATCAGCTTACATCAATTTGTACTTGTGATACTGTTTGTGATTACGGTTTCCATGCGGAACGTCGTATTGATGGTGGGTTGCTGAACGACTGTGCATTGTTTACCCACAGCGTGAATGAGTTGCAGCAAGTGACCGATGCTCTCGCTTTGACAGCGCTTAACTTCGTGCTCACAATCAACACAAGGCTATCTGTCTTTCCCAGCCTCCACCAGGAATGGAGTCCGTGGGCCTGCCCCAAATTCAGGCTGCCGACGAAATGTTGGAAACCACTGCGAGATTTCTCTCCCTTGGGAGCGTAATTACAACCTACCTACGAAGTGCGAGCTGTGCAGCCGCGTATCGAGGGCGGCTGCTGCACCTAGAAAGCTGTACTTTCGTATGTGGAACAACCACCAGCTCACTTTCAAGACTAGCTGCTGCTATGCTAGTCTATGATGCTATCCGTTCTTCCATACGGCAATGAAACCTGGACACTCTACCGGAAGGATGTTCGTTACCCGGAGCGCTTTCATCAACAGTGTCTGCGTCGCACCATGCTCATCCGCTGGTTTGACAGAGTTGCAGACACGGAGGTGCTCCGACGCACTGGCATGTGTGCAGTGGACTTCGTACTTCTTCTAAACCACCTGACGTGCCTCGGACGCATTCGCCGCATGGATTCAACCCGGGTACCGAAACAACTGCTTTATGGCCAACTGCGGGCAGAGAAGCGTCACGCAATAAAACCTAAGTAACATTGTCAGGGTATGACCAAGGTGAGTTTATCAAGAACTAATGCTGGTTTCAGAGTCGGAGATCGATGGCATTAGGTCGGCGCCGATGGCGGCAGCAGATCAATAGGGCGGTTACTCATGTGCAATAGATATCACTACTACATGCGGAAAAGAAACGTCGGTTAAGAAAGCGACAAGTGTCGATGGTGGATATCCCCTCGACGTCGAGCGCATTGTGCTGTAGCACATGCGGTAGTGAGTGCCTCAGCCAAATAGGCCTGGTAAGCCACCAGCGTTGCCACGTTGGGCCAACATCTAGAAGATGACGTATTTACTCAATGTGTAGTCATCATCAGCGCGGTGTATTGTAAGTTCGCTGTTTCCTTTTCAATATACTAACCCAGGTCACTAAGGCGGTTGAGGTGATACATGTGTCGCGCCGTCATTGCAGTTGGTCTGTGCTTGTGGTTGCGTGTTGAAACTCTTGCTTTTCTGATGTTGACTGTTGATTAATATACTCGGTGTGACTGCGATTTAGGTGAATTTTGACAAAGTGCCTACCCGTCTATTATTCATCACCTCGCCTATACTGGCTCCAGGATACAGATATTTGTTACTGGAGAGGACGGGGTGCACAGTCCTCTTGGCCGCGCTAGGCTCAGAGAGTGGTTCCATGCCTCCAGTGTGAAGCGGGCCACTGTCCAGCCATCATCTTTTGTACGTCTGGTACGCATGATTCCGCAATTAGGCAGGTATGCATCTGCTCTGATTGTTGAAGAATTGTAGGCTGGTTCCGTTAAAGAAATGTGGCCCCCGGCCACATGCTTAGCTATCTTACTCCTTTGGGTTTACAATGGATATGGGGTTTGTGGTAGGAGCGGTAGTTGATGCAGCGCAAGCTATCCGTGGTCTCTGTGTAGACGTAGGCGCCTTTGGCTGTCATATAGAGGCCCCGGTTACTGGTAAATCCGGAATCGGATGCTGTCGACCACGACGACAACGCATGAGAATCCTGGAAATTCAACATATGGTGGTACTCTGTGCCTTTGCTACTGGGGGACATCGGATGTTTCCGCTTAATCAAGAAAACTTATCTTCAGATTTACAAGCAACATTTTGGAGATTTCGCAGACCACGGCTGATGAAAGCCAATCTATATTTGCATCTTGTAATTAGTCTATGGGAACTGAACAGCGCAACTTCTTCCTTGAGAGCCTGCGGAAGATGGACAAGAAAGCTATGGAACTTTTACAAAGATCATTCAACATGCCTTTGTCCAGTAGTGCATCTAGCCTAAACTGCCGCGAACGTTGTAAGCAGTTTCATATCGAACCCCTGTGGCTGCGAGTTCCAAAGTAAAACTTGCCGCTACTTTGCAATTTACTGCACCAGGAAACGTACGCCTATCTGCCTCGTTTCTAGTTGAGACAGAATACAATTCAACGACTCCGCAAGGTTACTTGTACCAAGGGCAAGAACAGCTATGTGCTCTGACGTTTTCCTCAACAGACACTGCTTTATGGAACAGCCTGAGAACCACAATTAGAATATGTTAAAGTCTTAATTTCTTCCACACTAATATCAATAATTGCTTTGATTTTAAGTGGTAATATTCATGTTTTCATCAGACAAACCACCCGTGAAATATACCAGGATGGACCAAAGATTAGCTAAAAAGCCAAAAATTGGGATCGATACGCACTAGTGCAAGAGCACGAGCAAATCTGTACATACTGATATGTTCCTATCTTAGGAGCAGTTTCGCGCACTTTAGAGTAATATACGTATAATATTACCCCATAAGAAATGTAAACCTTACCTAATAAAAGGCGATTTTTGTAAGATTATTATTACAAATTTGCGCCGTGGTTAAGTAAGGTGACGCATAAGACCACCAGAAAGTTCAGGGATAAATTTATCCTAGCCTAAAAACCAAATGCCTTTCAAGCTAACAGATGATTACCATCCAGATTGTACATAATCTTTTATGAATGAAGCTAGATCTCTAACTTAAACGACATTGTAAGAGAAGATGAGCGATCATTGCGGACGGTTACCTCTTACTTTCACTGTCAAACACAATTCTATGGGTTATAGTGGTATCGGCTTCATCCATGTTCACAATAAAACTGCACAACACCATTTTTATGACAGAAATGCGATAGGATATTTCTAGTAGTACGTGTGAGCTGACAACGAACACGTAAACCAAATGTTTATCACGTCGGGCTTTCAGTCCAATTTTTCATTTAAGATAATCAGTGCGTTGCGTGCAGCGAATGCTCGCCTATGATTGGTCCATTGCCTCCATGTAATCATTGAAAAGAAATTCTCTTGCTCATGATATCCACCTGATACTGAAAGTCGATTGAGAGCCGCGTTTCCTTAATTGATTTCTTGATCGTGATTGAAAGGCGCTGCTGTGTTAGTGACCGAAATCATTTTTGTTACTTCTGTGGACAGTTTACTACAAACTCGCAGTACAGAACTATTGCTTCACTACTGAAGTCTGCCTACTACGCATATTTCCGAATGAAACTGGGAGATCAGGATAATAAGTTGGTTCCGCATATTGTTTGCGTGTCATAAAAACTGCATCTGATTTAGTGGCTCAACGGCAAAGACAAGATGCCTTTTCGATCCCCATGGTATTGAGTGATCCGAAGGACAGACTGCTACTTTTACCTAACCAAGGTCATCGGCATCTCCAACGGAAACCTGGACAACCTGTTCCACCCGAACGCACCTTAGTCATTCCAGCGTCTCCAGCGAGCATGTCACTGATGACGAGTAGTGATTCCGCATCGTCAACTTCCCCCGCTTCTGACATCTATGAAACTTTGAAGCTGATGTTGTCAACCCACATATTAGTGAACAATCATAGTTGAATGAATTGGTACGTGTTCTGCGCTGGCCTAAAAACAAGGCTGAATTGCTGGCGCCCGGGCTGCAGCAGTAAAACCTACTTGCTATAAACACTAAGGTTATTGTATACAGAAAGCGAAGCGTTACATTGTCCGCTTTCTATGAGACGAGATAAACCTTTTGGTACTGTTAAGACGTGGAAGGACTGATAAAGGAGCTTGGCGTGCTACATTTCAGTGATGAATAGGGTTTGTCCATTGATTCGTCCTAGAGTAGTCTTAAAGCCATACTGCTACACAATGGAAATGTGTACCAAACTGTGCCTCTGTTACATACCAACAATATAAAAAAGACGGGAAGCTTGCAACAGGTACTCGCTACACTGAACCACGAGAAGTACTGTTGTAACCTCCATGCTGACTTCAAAGTCATTGAGCTCCCAATGGGTATGCATGCAGCCTTCACGAAATATGCTTGTTGCTTGTGTGAATGGGTCAGCAGAGCAACCCAACAGCACTACACAATCGAAAAGTATCCATAGAGAACGGCGTATGCTGCAGCGAAAATGAGTTAACAGCATACACCTCTTGTGCAACCTGATCATATAGATCTACAACCGGTGCATATCAAGCGTGGTTTGATTAAAAACTTCGTCACAGCTCTCAAGTGCGATGGCTTTGAGTTCCAGTGATTGAAACAAGTGGTTCCGATGATCAGTGATGTGAAGCGCAAATAAGGATACTTATTGGATCTGATATCCGCCGGATACTAGCAGATAATGCGTTCGAGTGCCAGTTGAATTCATTTGAGTTAGAATCGTGTCGATCATTCAAAGCAGTGTGTACAGGATTTTGGCGTAGAACAAAGGCGGAAAACTACAAAGATATCACAGAAAACCTCATTGCGAACTATCGGGCTGTTAGTGCTCGAATGTCACGCAAGATGCACTTTTTGCATAATCACCTTGACTTTTTCCCTAAGAACTTGGGATCTGTTAGTGATGAGCATAGTGAGTGCTTTCACCCAGACATTTCAGTCATGTAGCAGCGCTACGGTGGCAAGTACCCGCCTTTTATGGTGGGTGACTGTTACTGGTCGCTGCAACGTGAGGGCGCGGGATCATACAAGCCATGATCTCGGCGAAGTCATCATTTCCCTGTACCAAGCTGCAGTCAGTAGTTAGCGGAGAGTGTTGCAGTGGTGTTTTAAAAGTATCTGCCACACAGAAGTATTCTGCATATTTTTTGATTCAGTACATTTGCATAGAATTTGTAGCTTGGCATTATTGAAAATAATTATAATAATAATAATTATTATTATTAATAATTATTAATTATTATTATTTATTATAGGTAACACCGGAATACATTTCTATGATCAGTGGAGTGTATGATATAGGGTAGAGATGTTGACATTTCTGTTATGGAAAATACTTTTTGTTGCACAGTGCAATTTGTGCTTTGCCTGATGTGTTTACGAGCAACGAAATTTACTAGAATATTGATATACACTATCAACCATAGTAGTCTACCAGAAATCTCTTTTGATACAATCGTATTCATTCATAAGGCTTAGCAAACCGTGGCAAATCACATGTGTTTGAGTTACATAACAGGAATGATGGCCGCAGCAACTGCTTATGTTGGCTGGCGGATAAAAGGCCAATATATAGTCAAGCGACATTGAAAATACTCATATACTGCATGTTTTACTGAGCTAAACACAATGACATATACTTAAGCATTAAAACATGCTACTATCGTTGGACCATGATAATGAATCCAAGTCCTATCCTGAGCCGATAGCGGTGCGCGCCTAGAGAACAACGTTTAACAGAAGTTGGCAAAATTGCAAGTAGAAAATCATTTTAAAATTCATATGCGGTACTTTACTTTTTATTCAGTACAATGAAACGGAATTGCTACAGTGTCTACTGCATTAATTTTTACTGAGCGGGAGATGCTGAGCTTAGGCCCTGTGCGTGTATTGTATATTACCCATATGCGCCGTTTGAATCTAAACAGCATAGCAAATGGCAGCAATGCTTTATGGTCTGATTAACTTTGTAGTTGACGTTTTCTGCAAGAGAACTGTGCTTGAATAATACAAGGTGGATTGGTCTATGACAGCTTTCGTTACGTCATAAACTTTGCCAGTTTATTTAAACCAAACGTTCTTTATCTAGTTTAATTATTATTTAATGAATAGCACTCACCGTAAAGGGTGAAATCGTGAAACCACCGCAATGTTCAAACAACTGACGTCGCTCTGATGCCTCATTCACAAAAAAGCCAGGGGGCTGCTCTTCAATGTAAATTGGTAGATGACAATAGTGATGAATAGACCACCAAACTTTGAAGTTACTCCACTGTATCGATGCATCCAGTAAGGATGGCCGTCTAAATTCAGGAGGAAGACCATCCGGTGCATTTGATATATGCTGCTTAGTGGCATCGGAAGTTGGCACAGAAGCCGTCAGTAGAACTATTACGTTGGGGGTCCATTGGTTGGGCACAGCTTCCCTTATGCGTCTGAGGTTGGATGGGTCTTTTGTATGGTCGTTGGAAGAAAAGGGTTTTGATACTAAGTTCACGTCACCGCTTGTACCGCCACCAGGAGGTTGCATTAGTAATTTATCAATAAGGCGGATCAATGCGGATAATTTTCCTAGTGGATCCACCTGAACAAATGGAACCCCTGTCCCAGTGATACTGATTATGACGCGTGTCTGTCGTCCTCCTGCACGTGCATCGATCATGGATAGACATTTACAACCTTCAAGGAGGCCTTTCTTGATCACCTTTTTCCACCTAGCAAGTGTTTTTGCTTCTGTTGCTTTCCTGTTCTTTCCGCTTAGATCATTCGAAGTGTCTCTAAGTGAGGTTGCTTTGCACTTGTTCAGATTCGGGATCAGTTCTTCTCCAGAATTAAAGAGTACAGGTTCACTGTGTATGCATGTCTCAGACTCTTCGACATGTTTTATTTCGTCTTGCTCCTCGCTACTGAATTCGTCATTTTCGTCCTCTTCCGTTAGTGGACTGCTCTCGGAGAAGTCATCAACTGCAGCATCACTCTTGCTAACATCATTTCGATGTTCTACGTCCAAACTAGTTCTTATCCATTCAGATTTACCACCTAAATCAGCCTTTTTCTCCCTATTCGATCGAACTGTGCTCCGCCACTGGTTTGCTGCAGCGGTTGATGTAACTGTCGAATCCAGGTCAGAATGAAGATGGAAGGCGCATTCACGTGGACACATCATGCAGCGTTCTGAAATATGGACCAGAAATGTATTGGGTGAGTTTATTGGGATGCGGTAAGACAGAATCAAGTAAGCCGGCAGTCTGCTTTTATTCCTCATAATTGATTGTCGCTGATAATAATGCACACAGCATCCACTATCATCATCGGTAAGGTATCCATGTATCTAACTTGTTATGATAGACGAGGTCGTGCCTAGCAGATAGATCGACGCTTTTAAGGTTAAAATTTGTCCGGATCTAGTCAGTAACAAAATATCGAAGCCACTCATTGTCCCAACACTTGGGTAGACGAAACCATTGTTTTTAAATTGTTGTCCTGTTGCTTACGGAAAACCGGTGGGGGAAGGCTATATGTAAAGCCATCCAATATTTTACCGAGAATTCCCATGATTGCTTACGGCTTAAGTAACGTTCTAAAGCTGCAGTGGTCTGACTCGTAATGCCATCAAAGCAGTAAAAAGATGGATCAGTTAAGAATTTATACATAGACCTGCCACCTAATTGTTAAACGGTTTATAATAAAGTAAGAACCAACTACGCACCTGTGCATTGATCTTAGGCGGGGCTTTTAAATCAACCGTGCCGTTATCACTAAACATCATCTTTACAATAACGCTATGGACGCATTAGATTGCTCAGAATATGTCAACAATGATATTTGTCTAGCTATTTCCTAGGTCACCGCTGCTGTCCTTCGTGTAATTTTGAGAAATATTTCAGATACTGCGCTCGTTAAAATGGACGGTCCCGATTGAAAACGCAGGCTTTAAATTATTTTGTCCGGAAGTGTTTAATTGTTGCTCTTTTATGCTGATCGTTTATTCAAGTGACACTTCTACACAGTGTCCTTTTATGCATTTCCATAAATTTAGTTCTATGAATGTAAATTTAGCTCATCCATTGTCCATATTGTAAAGTGCGGAAAATGTGCCCATCTGGATACATAAAGCTTATCTTGACTTGGCTTGGCATCAGTGATTTGGCATACGTGGTGGGTTTCGGCCTGGTGAACTGTTCCTTTCTAACTTCTTCTGACGATGACTAGCCGAGCGAACAAAATCACAAATGCAGCGTCTCATTTAAAAATTCAAGCAACACAGCTACATGCTGCCGTCATTCGGTCCCCGGATTTGTTTATCACTGCAGCCTTCATAGGACAGCCAAAGGGCGCCTGTGGCTACAAAGGGACCATGGATGGCTTGCGCTGCACCAACCACAGTTCAACCCACGCACCTCATATACGGTGTAAACCTAAGGAATAAGATAGGCAAGCATGTGAATGGGAGCCAGGTTTCATCAACAGAGCCGACCCACACCCCGACAAAATGCACGGCAGCAGCATTCCTGTCTATCTAATTTGGGAATCATGCGTACGACACGTACACAAAGCGGCGGGTGGGTCGTCGCCCACTCTACAATGAATGCATAGGATAACTCTTTGAGCCTAACACTGTTAGAAGAACAGTGCATCCCGTCTCGCGAACCAACGACTGTCTCCTGGAGCCGGTATAATCAAGGTAGCGCTTTTTCAAATGGTAGCTACTTTGTCAACATTCACATCAAGCACAGCCACACCGGGAACATCAATGGAAAGCTAACACTTAACATGAGAGAAACAAATACACATTTGGATAGTACATATGTAAAGGTGATCTTTGGCTAGGGTAAGTTTAGGTCAGATGATATTGACCGACTAATAAGGAAAAGGACGGGAAAACGTAGGAAATTTAGCAGGGAAGAAGCGGCGAGTTAACAGCTGAACACATAAACTCAAATGGATTCGGCTAAATATTTTATAATGTGTCACAAGAGTAAGTATTTCATTATAGCCTAACTGCGATGAATAAGCAGCATAAAATTTACTTATTTACATAGGTTAAAAAGCTGTAAAGGAGTGATATATGGAAGGCATGGACGCATTTTGTCATCTCAACTCACATATAGACCAAGCAATGTACGACGCAGGAGGGATCTCAGGCTGAGGAATTTGTTTCACTGGTAGTGGAAAGTAAAACTGTTTGAACTAGGTGGACTACTGAAAGCGTAATATTTTATTTGATATGGCAATTATTGCGACCACACTAAGGGACAGGTTGGTAGATGATTCATCCTTGTGTTACGGGCCTCATGTGGTGCAATTTATCCGTCACTGTTGCAGTAACTAGTATGACTACTGCAATACGACTTCTGTATGAAGTCGTACGTTAAAATGGGATGGCGGTCATTTCTGTACAATGAAATCATTACCACCTCCCCGCTGCCTTCCTGACAAGCGTTTGAATGAAAGGTTTTGGTTGAAGACGCTATTCCTCCTTCTGTTTAGGTGTGGGCGCCTTGGCAGTATCTCAGCCTACATACAACCATGACTTTTATTCAAACACAAATTTCAGCTTGCATCGGCCATCGCGCAGATTATCAACGGTTGTCTTATCTGCTGCATACAGCAGCGTGGATAATCGAAAAGGTGCAACTGCTGGCGCCTCCCAGTTTACTTTTCCAACTGTTACACTCATCCAGACCCTAGTTAATAATCTTCCTTCTATAGTTCCCAGATTAATTGACAGCAACCGAAGTGAAACTGGAGTAGAACCAACTGCAGCCACCTTCCCGCAATACCCACCAGAAGTCTATCGGCAACAACGCTAATAAGACCACGCTTTCCATTTCCCTGGAAGCATTCAAAATACGCACTCTAAGACAAATCGATCTATTGGCTGCACTCATATGCACGTCGGAGAGAATGGGTATTGAAGTGTGATGTTTTTTTTCGAAACTAGGATAAATGACGATAATTGGTCTGTTGAATTAACTGCGCCCGGCTTGTCCTCTCGATATTGGTTGCACGCATCCGGAGACGCTGATGCACCACTCACCAGTCAAGCTGTGGTAGGTCTCATTCTCAGCTCCAAGGCTGAGCTATCATTGGTTGATTGGATTCCGACGAACAGTCGTTTGGGTGTTGCCCGTTTGACGAAATCAACTAGAGTTAATGCCCAGATTAGTACAAACGCTGTTTGTGATTTCCGCTTATGGTCTCATCGACTGCAGTTCTGATGATTTCAAGGACACTTTCCATCATGAACTGAACGCACTAATATGCAGTGCTACTAGTTCAGATATTGTAGAATATGCAGGGGATATGAACGCACAAGTAGGGCGGATGAGCTCTTCAGAAGCTCAGCTAGGTAGTAATTATGGGCCCAACCCGAATGGACTGACAACGACAAACGTCTGTTCCAACCGTGTGCGAAGCACCAGTGGTTTCTTAGTAGCACGGCTTTTAGACACAACGGGAGCCGAAATGCTACTGCAGCTGGTCAGCGATGGACGCAAATAGATCATGTTGCCATAAGTTACAGGCGGTGTGGTTCCATCCTGGATTGTGCTCGTTCTGGAAAATCTGCGTCGATCACGATCATGCCTAGATACACTGTTGTTACTCTATGGATTTACCGGGAGGCGCACCAAACGTCTCCCTCGATTGGCAACTGAGAAATTATCGCAACCCTCGGTCAGGCAAGCCTATCAAGACGCACCGCGTACCTAACTTTCGCTGTCTTGTCCTAATGACACTGTGCTTCAGTGAAATAGGATTTCGGTCACAATCCACGACGCTGGAGCACCTGCTTGTGGCACTATCCATCGTCACCGCACCAGTCACTGGATGTCTGAGAGATCGGCGAGCCTGTCGGAAGCCAGAAGAAGACTCCCGGCTGGCTCTGAGTATAAGGTGAGCAGACGGAATATTAGGCGCGAACTAAAGCGGAGCTAGCGTGCTGATAAGGAAGTCTGGTGAACCAGTCGGGCTTGAGAAATGGAGGAGGCAGAAGCAGCAGGCAGTTACCGCAAGCTCTTCCTGGTTGTGGGCCCAGGAAATCAGATGTCACTGAGACATGCAGAGATAACGCGGGTGTACTGATACATAATAAGGAGCGCCGTATGGCTCGTTGGATAGAACCCTTTCAAAATTAGTTCATTTGGCCCCTACCCAGTTGATGCAGGTGGAGTCATGGAGGGTTAGTGTAGAGGCTGAGGTCCGAAACGCGATCACAGCCCTCAATCGTTTTCGTGCTGCTGGCAAGGAATCCCTCCCACTGTACCATATAAAGATAGAGGTGAGGTCCTCTGCTAAGCACTGACCTCCCAATTCGAACATATCTGGGAGGAAAAGAATGTCCCGGTTAGCCGGAGTAAATCGATTATAGTGGCAATATACAAGAAGGGCCGTCGCACAGACTGTGCTAACTATAAAGGTATTAGCCTAACGCCAGTTGTGATGAAGTTACTGGTTTCGATTCTCGCTCGTCGCTTCACTGTGGAATGGAAAGCTAGGATTAGGAAAGAGTAAGCAGGTTTACGCCCAGGACGTAGCTGTATAGACCATATATTCACTCTGCGGCAGATGATAGAGCAGCGCCACGCATACCGCAGATCGACAACTGTAGTCTTCCTCGACTTCAAGTATGTGTTCGATGCAGTGGATCGATGCGTTCTATTTGAAATACTTGCTCGGGAAGGTGTTCACACGAAATATGTGAACATCTTACGTGCTCTATACTCGAACAATACAGGCCGATTCAGGGTCTACAGTGTTCTGTCGGATAGCATTCGAGCACAAGTGGCCTTCCTCAGGGTTGTCCGATTTCCTCGTTTTTATTCCATTTCGTAACAAACTCCATCATGGAGTGTTCCGGTACAGAATCTCAAGATGTTTGAAGTGAAGTGCAGCCTGGTGGAAAGCTAGTTGACGTTGACTATGCGGACGATATTGTCTTGCTTCTCGTTGATGTTGCGGTGGCCGAAGCAATGTTGAATATCTTCTCTAGAGTGGTCTCATCATTTGGTATACGCTTCGCAACTTCAAAGTGCAAAATGTCACAGGACTCTCTGCCACTTAATGACCCCTTGACTCTTGAAAACGAGGAACTAAAGGGTCTTGATCGATTCACTCACTTTGGCAGCTGCATTAGCAACAGTGGACGAAAATAAATTGAAGTCAGTTTACGC